GATAATGAAAATAACATAGGGCTGAGCTTCAACATGAGAAAAGAAGTTAAAAACCAAGGAGGCAAGTAATTCAAGAGCAGAAGGCAATGTAGAAGTGAAATGATTAACTATTGACTTGAGTTTGGAGAGGGGGAAAAATGAAATCAGAGCCTGAGAAAATATTAAAAAAAGATGGAGGGAATGGAAGTCTGGGCGAAGGTGAAAGAGTTGTAAGACAAATGGAGCAAAAGGAGAGATGGAATGATAAGAGATTATTATCAGCAAATGTTCTACAATTTATAATCTTAGGGAGCTGCCTGGAGCACTAAGAAGTTAAGCGACTTGCTCAGGGTAACACAAATAGTATGTTTAGAACAGGGACTTGAACCCAGGTTTTCCTTATTCTAAGACTGATTCTCTGTCCGCCATGCTGCCATATTCACAACTACACATATCACCCATTTCTGTTACATCATTTAAAATTGACAAAAAAAATTTTCATTGAAACAATTTCCTTTGTAAGTAATTTTCTTGAATTAAATTGAATTTGTTTGGATGTTTCATAAAGCACGGTAGCTTCACTACAAACCCTAATTGCCAAAAATATCCTTTTCATTTATACTTTGTATATTCCTATTTTAAAGGTTACAACTAATCACATTTTATAATCATAAAGCCTACCAAGATTGTCTGGTTGGTATGCCGTAATACAAAAAGATGCCTTTGATTTGACATCTTTCTTATGAAGAAAGGACAATGAAGAAATCCTTCCTCTTATGGATCTAGCATCCTGATCCTGAAACTACTTTAGAGCAAGAGTATAACTCCTGTTGACCAGGCTACTGAGATTCTTAATGCAGAATAACTTGGGATTTGTAAAATACAGATTAACAATAGAATCCATGTGGAACAAAGCATTAGAATCCTGGAGGACTAAAATAACTCATATATAATCTCCCACTCACCTATACAGTTCCCTTTGAACTCCTCCTCCCCACTTTTTATAAAAAAGAATTAGAATTCTTCCTTCCTTTTCAAATTGAATAGAATTGTAAATTGTAATTTCTTTCTCATTAATCTTAACTTGATTATTGACAGGGTAGACTTTAAAAAGTACAGAAACAACTTATGAGGAAGTGGCATCTATTTTTTTCTGAGTCACATGATACTGTGCTATTTATACTTTTACTTTAAAGATTTTGAGCATGATTATTGTCATGTTGATTTTTTTAAGGATAAATCACCAATAGTGTGGGGAAATAGTATTTATATGTTTTCAAATAACATGTTGAACTCCTTTAAGATTCATTGAGTAGTTCATTTAGAAGAATGAGTCTCCATTTAGTTCAATTTGTCTGATCGTGATTATAAGAAGTACAGTAGGTTTTCAGTGCGAATAAATTTGCTCTGTGACTTTACTATCTTAAAATTTTATTTTAGGAGTTATATGAATGCAAGATGATTCTTGGTATTCATGCACAGACACGATTGGTTGTGTGATCATTTTATACTGTCTGGAGATCCTTTATATTTTGTTGAACATTAGTTTGAATATAATTCCTTCTCATTTTCTTGTTCTCTGCATTTTCCTGTGAGTGCTATCCAGACTTAAGTAATGCAGACAAACATTTAATCTAATCCAATACAAAATGTTTACCTTCTTTCTCACATTTTGAGAAAATGACTTTTCACATTTTAAAATAATGATGACTATGACAGCTTTTACTATCATAGGCAACTGGTAGCTCAGTGAATAGAGAACTGGGCCTAGAGTCAGGAACACCTGAGTTCAAATCTGACCTCAGACTGTGTGTGACCTTCTGTGTCACTTAACCTTTGTTTGCCTTAGTTTCCTCAATTATAAAATGGGAACAATAATAACACCTACATTGCAGAGTTGTTTTGAGTATCAAATGAGATAATAATTGTAAAAATAGCTTAGCACAGGGCCTGGCACATGGTAGGCACTATATAAATGCTTATTCCATGCCCTCCGTCAGCAAAGGCTTTGGGTATGAGAATTTACCTCTATGTTTCATGTTTCTCTTAAGTAAAATGCATGTTCTCAGAAATGCTCAGTGCCATATTTGACACTATACTACATGACATAAATAGGTGCAAGAACTACAAATGGTGAAATAATGGTGAGATTCATGACAGTCCTCTATAAAAATGAGCAAGTCTACACAGATGATTAAGTTGTGACATTTAATTATCACATACAAGTAGATACAGCTGATTCTCTACCTTTTAGAAATTGCTCCAGGTTTGAAAGTTTTCTAAAGGATTAGGTTGTGTTCAATCTACACAAACTTATAGTGAATAAACGTGAAACCGGATAACTTAAAGCCTGAAACCTAGTCAGTGATTCACTGTGACTTTAAGCAGAATGCTTTGTTTAGTTTGCTCTGATTTTCCCATCTATATAGTTAAACCATGATAGCCTAGTTTATATATGAGGATTAATGTGCACATGCATTCTTTTGAGGGCAGTAACTACATGCAAAATGCTATGTTAAACCTATTCTTTCCCCTTTAAGGGGAAAGGATGTGGTTTTCTGCATCAAGAACAGAGAGAGAATGACTCTCCTTAAGGAAGGCAATTTTATACAGCATTATGGGACATCTTCTGGTAAGTCGGGATGGAGGATATCATTATAATAATGGGCTTATCATTAAATCACAAAACCAGAATTTTCACTTCCTGAAACTGCAGTTTAACCACAGGACCTGCATAGTTGGCAGTTCTGCTGTAGAGGTACCTAAGTAGGCTCATGACCTTGAATACCACCATTTTTGATTTATTTAGATATCTCTGAAATATATAGCCCTAAACCTAACCTCCCTTCTGATCTGCAGTCTAACATGTCTAACTGTCTATAAGGTAGCTTCACCCAGAAGTCCTACCGGTATCTCAGAGTCAACATGTGTGATTTGGACAAGTCATACAACCTGTTGCATGCTTTGCAAGAAAGGTACCATACAAATGTGTGATATTTCATTCTTCCCCGTGAATCTACCACAAACTCCTTCATTTAGCATTGGCTACTCAGAAATGTAACACTCCTTTTCCTAAAAAAGGATATATTTTCAAGAAAATTTTAAAATATAATATTTTAAGTGCTTGCAATGAAGAATCTTTATTTGTTTTATGTTTAGAATAACAATACAGGTTAACCTAACTAATATATTGGAATATGGTGACAAACACGGTATAGTTAGAACTCTATATGTTTGATAATATGAAATATTTGACCAAGATAAAAATATTTCAACTTCTGTGTCAAAATGTATGCATAGTCTTTTATTTACTTACCTGGGAAAGATTAAAAAACTACAATCATGAACTTGAAATTCTGAAAGTCAGAGATCTAAACTTTATTCTTAGATTTGTGTTTTTATGGTGAAAGAAGGAAAACTTTTTATGTGATTGCGTAATTTTACTTAGGATCACAGGATCCCTCTTATCACATCAAGTAGCTAAGTAGATATTTGGTATATGTCAACCAGTTTGGGCACTTCTTCAGTTAGTGCGTGGTACTTTGGGAAACAGTCATTATGAATTACTGTGGTTGGAAAATAATCATATTTGATTATCAGCTCTCTGGTGATGAACTTCTCTGGACTTGTTTTAGCAGTTTCCCAAATGACAGACAATATCTGTCAACAGCTTGTATTAGAAATCTTTTCATTTTCCATGGGGTCTTCCAGACCTTACATTTTCCTGGCATAAACTTCTAGGGAAAAAAAAACAAAACAGGATAAACTCCATGCTGGGATGAGGTATTGGAGTAGGCCTTGAGAGGAGAAAATATTCTGCATAAACGTCATATGATAGATGACTCTGTGCTGAGATGCCACCAATCTAATCCTATCCATCTTCTCAGGAGTAATACCTGTACAAGTATTATCAAAACTTTTCTAGTGTTACAGGACAATATCCATTTTGTCAATATTAGTGCAACATGGTGAACAGTGCATTTTACTCATGTGCTTACATCATTCCCTTTATAAATTAGCTACTTATCAGTGCGGCCATCTCTTGATGTTATACACTTTATGGTAATAACATTGTAACAGGTCAGAGAATGCTGTGATCAAAACTACTCTGATTTAGTGTGGCACTCATACCTGTCCCTGGGTAACTTTGATTGTGCCTCAGTTTGGGTTTTCAAGGAAACAGGTTGAAGATTTGGACTTCTTCATTTATTTTGGCTCAAGAACCACTTGATCTGGCCAAAGATATAAAAGATGTAAAGCAAGTTTATCTTATTCTATTTTCTTCTGGCAATGTTTAATTTAATTTAAAACAAAAAGAAAAAAAAGAAAGAAAATCCTCTTGTTTCTTCCTGTGTTCATAGGACATGTATGTGTGCCAGAGTAACAAGTAGTTTCCCCAATGCACAATGAAACATACAGGTGCATTGGCTAAAGAGAATGCAATATACTGGCTAATGCTATAAAGCTAATAATCTGCTGCTCTTTATGAAATTACAGAGACATAGAAGATATTTAAGAACAACTGGTAACAATGTGTTTTCATGTCAATGAGAAATGGGTAAATTTAGATTCTGCTGTTTATGTGCATCCAATATAATATTTTCTGCATTTGACATGAAAATACTCCTGTGCAGCTTTCATTGGTTGGGTCACAATGTTAGAATATAGCAAGTCATTCACAGACTGATTCATAATGGACAAGCCTTCAGAGAAACTCACAGTTACCAAGATACCCATTTTGCAGTCTTGCTTGAGGATTCCATTGCATAGTTCCCATATTGGCTGAAGACAAATTATCTAACATATTTGTGCAGGAAACAATGTACATATAGACATAGTCTGTATTGTGTCTAATCTTGTGACCCCACCTCTACTAAAGCAGATTGGCATTACGTATGAATATTTAAGTGAACCTTACATTTCAGAGCTCGGAAATGCATACAGAAGACTTGGGGTATGCTTTATCTGTATTGCAAATGATATTTTTTTTAAAAAGGTTTTCTGTGGGGTTTGATTTGCAGAAGTTAAATGCATCTAGTTCATCTGAAGGGAGTACAGTGGATGTGGGAGCCCCTGCAGAAGGGGAACAGCCAGAAGTAGAGCCTGAAGAAGCCCTGGAGCCAGAAGCCTGTTTTACAGAAGGTAGGGAAAGAAAAATAAACCTGCATAGGTCTTTTACTTTGCCTTTTTTCCTGCTATTTTGAGAGATTGTGATTTCAAACAGACAAGGTAACATGTGGAATTCGCTGATTTCTGTAGTCATTTCTAATCCAACAACTCTGAGTATCATTAGGTGTTCAAAGACATCTTGTTTGTGGAGCTTTTAGCAAGGGGGGAAAAAAAAAACTAATAAAGATGCCTATTCTTCTTTAGCAGCCCTTAATAAGAAACATGTTAAAAGTGATTTAATGAGAGATGGTGTTTCCTTGTTGTGGTTTAATGTTTTATCATCACTCAAAACATGCTAGTTAATTTGAATATGTCTGAATTAACCCCTAACACTAAAAGCTTTTATGGGGACTTTTGGTCAGAAAGAATCGAATAATTATTAGATGCACTAAATAATGATCTCCTGAAATGAAATAAGATCTATGACATTTACTACAGGAATCTCGAAGGACTATCTATGGAAAACCAAAACTATATTATTGGGTCACAAGATATTTCAACAGGCACATAAGTATCTTCTCAGTTATGGAAATATATCCTCTGGATACCAATGTCTCTTTGTAATTCTAGGAATTACTTTATTCTTAAAAAATTTTAGTAAAAAATTATTTTAATAAAACCTAATGTTATAGGTCAACTCTACCCCATAGTCAATAGAAGATGTACTCCAGTACTCTAGTAGACAATAATAATATCGCTTAAGATATTTTTGTAAAAAAAATTAAAATAAAAAAGCAGGGAATACTGGTTAATTCATGAAAAGATGCACTCATCTTCAGAATATGTATAGGTATATAAAGAATATATGTGCATATGTATATATGCAAATATGTAATCTAATTCTTTACTTTCTCCTTTAATGGCTTGCACCAATACTCATCTGTAAAATGGGGAATGAAGATGGTTGAACTAGATTACCTCTAAAGTCCCTTCCACCTTTAAATCTAGGACTCTATTATCTTATAAATTTTATTATCTTACAAGTATCTTATAAATTATCTTATAAATAAATATTATCTTATAAAACTTAATTTTTATATTGGTCTAAATATTCATTTCCCAAGAATATTGACCATAACCCTAAAATGAGATCTCTTAGAAGAGAAAAAAAATACAAGCTTACACTGAAAACAATTTTTGGGTATTATAAAAAAATAGATTTGGGGGGGGATATAATTGTTTTCTATATTTGGACCAATACTATACTTGCTAATGGAAACATCATGAGATGCAATAGTTTTATATGGAAAATATTATTTTTATGTCATCAAGACTTTTTCCTTAAAACATAATAAATCCTTGGATATAAAAAATTCAATACATCAATGCATTGAAAATTAATGATAATATCTCATTATGCATAGCCTCTAATTTTTCAAAGTGCTTTCACATATTTAATTTGTCTCTTACAACTGAGTAAAATGACAATATAACAGTAGTATTTAAGTATGTGAGAGTATTTTATAAGCCATAAAACATTATACAAATGTAAGTTATTTCTACATTTGACCTCAAAAAATCCATAGACATTTCAACAAATGGAAATCATTCTTACTATGTAAAATTAGCAATAGTATACCAAGACATAGTTGAGATCTTACCTGATCAACATACATCACTTACTACCCTAATCCTCATGAACATTGTAACCTGACTTCTATATGCTGAAAAGTGTTGTCATATTAAAATGCTTTCAAGTATAGCCTATCAGCTGTAGAGAAATAAATATAAGCAGTAGGTACCAATTCACTTTTTTAAGGATGGTTCATGGAAACTTTCAGACATTTTTATTTTTGATTCTAAAGCCTATGAACCTGTGAGCCACTGTTAACCTTTCAGTTCACTTGTTAAAACCTAAGCAATTGTAAATATTATTTGAACAGAAATTTTTTAAAAGAAACATTTGTAAAATTGAATGAAATAATTTCATTACATTTTTCTTCTGGCATAGGATGTAGCTTGCATAATTCTAGTTGGAGTTGCATATGCATTCAGCTATTTTCAAGACTGCAGCTAAAAAATGATATCAAAATATGAGTGTTTATTCAAGTTCAGTAGTTGATATTCTTCTTACATGGTTTTCAGGTTCCACCAGGAATGAAGGGATGAAACTTGGAATATCTGCGCAGTTTAGGAAGTAATGGGATCAAGATGTAATGGAGTAAAAAGGATTTTCTGAAGGGGAAGAATGAGGGCAGGGGTTCAGTTAATTGTGGTGGGAGGTAGAGAACCTGTAGGTAAAAATTAAGAGATACTAGGTATGAGGTATGTGATAAAAGAAAATTGGAAAAGAAAGGGTTTTGGAGATATTTAGTCATATTTTACGAATGAATGAAATGAATGAAATTTTATGAATGAAAAACATTAAGTCCTTTGTGAACTTTTCATATGGCTGCAGCACTCATTTCAATTAAATGCTACAGCAAAGGCCTAACTTATCCTAATTTTCCCTGTATAAAATATTTGAATAAGGTTTACAACTTCAGAATTATTTTCTGTTTTGATTCTACTTTCTTTTTTATTTCATACCACATATCCTAGGCTGTGTACGGAAGTTCAAGTGTTGTCAGGTCAGCATAGAAGAAGGCAGAGGAAAACTCTGGTGGAACTTGAGAAAAACTTGTTATAAGATAGTGGAACATAACTGGTTTGAGACCTTCATTGTCTTCATGATCCTCCTAAGTAGCGGTGCTCTGGTAAGTGAACCTAGCCTACCACATTTCTAAGCATGACCTCATAGAGTATCCTTGCCCACTGAAATATTCCTTTCTGTATGGATTGGAAGTCTAAAAGCATACAGCAGGAAGTGCTAGAGAAATCTATTGAGCTGATAAACTGAATTGTTTAGACTGGGATGGTTTGAGTAAATTTTAAAGGAAGAAATACCCAGACCTACAGATGTTTCTCTAATAAGAGTCTCAAATCAGAAATTCCGTGTTGATAGGAATTTGAATTATTTTGGTTTTCCCCCATGGTCAAGGATCAAGCTGTTTAGTAGCACTAAAGTGCAATCATAGTAGGCTTGTTCTTCAAATTCTGGTTTGATTTTCTTGACTGAATTGTCCTGTCAGTTCAGTCAAGCAACTTGGTCAGATGAGTGAAATACTGAATTAAATTATTTGAAAGTCTTGGTTGCTGTTGCATAGGAAGCAATCATTAGGCATATGGTGGGTCAGTGGGTTCTTAGATTATTTTACCACCAGTCATCTGGCCATGGCCAGAGCAATAAACTGCCTATGTGACCACAGCTGTTACATCACAGAGGCACAGCTGCCAATGGAGTAGCTCTGTCAACAAAGTTTGGAGCCATCTTGTAGAGAGGTCTTAAATGCCAGGCTGAGGAGTTTGAATTTCATCCTCTGAGTAAAAGGGAGTCATTGAAAGTTTTTCAACAGGAGAGTAGCATGGTTCAGATCTGTACAGTAGGAAACTTATAATGGCAGGTATGTGAGTTGCAGAGGGGAAAGACTAGAAGCAGGAAGATTAGCCATGTATTTATTACATGTCTTAGTTAAGAGACAGTGGGAATTAAAACTAGGATGATTGATTGTCCTGTGAATGGAGAGGAGATAAATATGGGCAACATTGCCGAGGCTGCACTGATAGGCATCTAATTGCACATCAAAGTGAGGAAGAGGTAAGGTCAGAGCCAAAACTAGTATAGGGTGAATGGAGCTTTGTGCCGCATTGCTGATATCCAGTAGAACATGTTTCTTCCTTGAGATTAACACCATCCCTTTGCCTTTCCTCATGATCCTCCAGCAGTTCATATGACAATATAGCGCAATTCCCATGACTGGTCCCTTTGATCTCTTTTCTACCTACACCCCCATTCTCTACAGGGGTCCCTTCTCTCAATGCAGCTATACCTTGATATTCTCCTTTCCCTTTTTTCTCTACTGTTTTTACCCTAGGTGAAAAAAAATGGGAAAGAAGTAGCTGAGTATAGAACATCCTTTCCAAAATTTTGTCAACAAAAGAAAGAGGAGATGTGGGGTGATAGTTTAAGATGGTAAGAAGGTAAAGGATAACTCCTGTTGAGCCTCCATGAGGCATTAAGTATCTTTTTCCCAACTCTGTTCAGCATTAAGGACCAGGTGCTGGCAAGCCCTTGTTTAGTTTTGTTGCAGGTACAGATGGCTCAGTAGCTGAACAGGCATAGAGTCTGAAACACCTAAGTTCAAGTTTGGCCTCAGACACTTAGTAGCTGAGCAAGTCACTTCACTGCCATTTGCCTCAGTTTCCTCATCTGTAAAATGGAGATAATAATAGCACCTATCTCCCAGGGTTCTTATGAGGATCAAATAAGTATCTAAGTTCAAATATTACTTCCTCTTGTTACCTTTGTAATTTTGGGGCAATTCACTTAACCTTTCTGAGCCTCGGTTTCCTCAACTGAAGGGATGAACTAGATTGTCTCTATGGCTCCTTTTAGATCTCCCAGTCTGGCCAATCAATTAGTTCTAAACCATCAAGCCTATATCTCTCCCACCTAACCCTCAAGAATAGTGTGAAATACTTCGGCAAATCCTTTGCTAATATCTAAGTAAACTATATCTACGATATTCCCCTGATCTAACAGTTTAGCAACCCTTTCAAAAAGAAAAAAATTAATTAGTCTGGTACAACCTGTTTTTGGTTCTTCAAGATCACTGCTTCCTTTATTAGGTGGACATTAACCACAAGCTGATAGTTGGATGATTCCATTTTCTTTTCTTTTTTTTTTAAATCAGAACATTTGCTCCCTCTAGTTCTTCTCCCAGTCTCCACAATCATCCTGATATCACAGACCGCAACTCAGCAATCCCATCCTCCAGTTCTCTCAGGACCTGAGGATATAGTTCAGCTGGACCTGATGAAGGAAGGGCAGCTAAATGCACTCTTAGTGTCTTCTTATTTATCCTGGGTTTTAATTCCTTATTAGCAATTTTTCTAGCCCAAATGTCATTTCTTGGTAGAGAAAAAAAAGTATAGTAAGAAATTAGCAGATCTATCTTTTTTCTGTTGTCAGTTATCATCATCCTATCCAGTCTGAGCAACAGTTCTAAAGTTTTGAATCTCTTCTTTTCCCCATTATAGCTGAAATTAAAAAAAAAAACAAAAACAAAAATCTTAGCTTTCCTCATGAGCACTCCTGACACTATTCTTGCAATAATATTAATACTTTTAAAGTCATCCTCCATTACCAACCCTTGTTTCTATCTTCTGTGCATATATTTGAAATGAGTACTCTGGCCTCACTTTTCCAGAGTAATACTGGCTATATCACCACCCTCAGGACTCTAGTGGTGCCTATAGGGTTGGGATGTCTTTCTCTAATATCAGCTAGAGCTCTCACTGTTAGCCATCACTGACTAGCAACCCCAACTCAACCAGTTAACATCAATTAACTTTTTCAAAGGTATTTAGAAGATATATCAAGCATAGAAGTACAAATATATGTCCTCTATAACAAACTCGAGATGAAAGTAGTCACTTTCCTCCCAAAATTTCCATTTCCTTCTCAGCAACCTATTCCTCCATATTGATAATAATCAGATAATAATAGAATTCCTGCCCTACCTTACTGCTTTCTCCACCTCTCCAAGAATAGATTTATTCCTAAGGCTAAGAAAGAAGTTATTACTTGATCTGTTTTTGATAAAGCATCAGATATTTAGATCATTGAAGTTCCCCCATCACAAATATATCGTGCCTCTACCCCAGGCTTCTAATGTGTTTCCCAAATTCATTATCTGCTGTATTTTTTCTTTCTGTCCAAGTGGACTGTCATGTATTCTGATGATAAAACACCTGTTTCTCTCTCATTTGCTGTTCTCACAAATGTTCTCCTCACCATCTTTTGGTACCTGGATTTCTTCACAAGGATATGCCTTCTTAATATACGACACACCCCAGATAGGACAAGCAAAAGAATAAAGGGAAATAATGAAGACCAAGTAGACCAACAAACAAAGGGAAACTGAGGAACAGGCATCACTCTGAACTTTCTGACCAGTTCACTATTCAGATTCCTGTTTCCTCTTCTGTGAAACAAAGGTTCTAAAGCCGATGATCTCCTCCAGCTCTAAGTTCTGAGATCCTAATTATGTCGCTTGGCCTCTGTGGAGAACTGGAGAATTCTCTTCTGCCACAGAAGACTCCAGAGTGTAGTTATTGTAAAAGGAAGGGAGGCTGCTATGTGCTAGTATACAGGTCCATATAAGAGTGTACCTCCTAGACAGATATGTTCTGTTCATGTCCTCACATAAATCCTGCGTAGGCATCCATTTAATGTGCTTGGGGACATCTATTTCTCTTGCTATTGCATGCATACTAATGGAATACATGGGCTAGGTATGTCTTATCCCTTTCTCTACCGACAGAACCAGCCTATCTTATTTCCTAATCATACTTCTCTGATAACATCCTTTGTGCCACTTCTCTTGCAAAATTCTTGGTTGATTGTGTGTTAATTTCCTACCTACACCCACAGTGTATCTCTCCATTACCCTTCAGGTAATACTGAATTTTAGTTATTCAGACATTGTGGAATTCCATGATTCCTATCCAGACAGAATCACTAGAACAATAGCATTATTAAAAAAGAAAGACTATTATTTCAATGAAAGATTTTAGATCATTAAAAGCTCTGTGTAAATTCATCCCTCTTTGCTCCTATTTAATTCTGAGTCCTGCTCACTATCCATGCATAATATTTGCCATATATATGCCATGTATGTATATGAATATATATATATGAATATATGAACCATTTCAACCAATTAGCCACTTAACTGAATATTCTAGGTTAGACAATAGGCATTCTTCATCTATTTGGTCTTTCCTTTCTGGAGAGTTCAACCAAAATCTTTTGAGTAGTTATGCTTCTTATTCAAGAGGCTCAGCAGTAGTCCAGAACTAAGGACAACCAACACAATAGCATCCACGAAGTGGTACACTTGGAGGACCTCACCATCTAGAGGGAAAACATTCCATTTGGACTCTGAATTAAGACATCCTCTAAGGCTCATCTTTGATGAGCATATGTGGTCTTGTTTTATGTCTGCCTTGATATAGATAATCAGATTGTTGATCTTGTATGATTTTGTCATATACTTGAGAGATACCTTGTTGAAGGGAGCCCCTAAAGCAGTGCTTTGTTCTACCTAATGTTTTTGATTTGTCTGCAGTTAATGAGCACAGTGAAACCTTATATTCTTTATATCTTTTTGTCAGTTTTGTGACTCTAAAAATATGGTCTGTTGTAGAATATCATTTTTGAAAATCTCAAGCCTCATCCAGGATATTCTCAAAGCATGTGTAATTTATTCTCATTAAAATTTTATAAAGGTAGGAAAGAAGACATTTGGTTTGATAGTTATTATTATTCTCTTAGTCATCCTTTCCTGGTAATAATATGATTTGAAATTTCCCCCCCCCCCACCAACTATTTCATGTTCTTCCTTCTTTCAGATACCCTAAGAGTTGTGCAGTGAAAATTGTATAGCCTCTAGTAGGAATCTCTGGTTTTCTTAAGTATCATTTCTGCCATTTCCCTCATGTAGTCCATTAGAGACTGATTTTAGTTTAAATCGTGGTGGTTCCATAATAGTTGATGGAGAAAATAGTTTGTTGCAGTATAAAAGCTTTTCAGAGCTTTTCTGATTTTCCAATTTCATCATTAACTGCGCTCAGGATGATTTTTCTTAGCTCTCTCTCACTAAGCTCTCTACATATTTCTTTTTCCCTTCTTCTATTCTCCAAATTTTATGAAGCAATACTGCTAACTAACTTCTACCATTTTCATAAGATCCTACAAGTACTTATAAACAAAATTGACATTGTCCTTGGCTGGCATGTCTCTACTTGACAAGATTCTGTGGCTCAGTCAGCTTCTAGGTTTTGGTTTTGGTTTTTAATTTCCTTGGTTATATTGGTTAAACTTCCTTAGGAAATGTTAACATTCTGTGTCTATTCCTTTATCCATTTCCCATTTTTTAGTGTCAATAGGTTGTTCAAATAGATCTCATTAGAACTTCCTCATGTGTATGCCATTTCTTCTTCAAAGTTTTATTCATTATTTTATTTTGATATTGATTTTGATCTTTGCTGTAACAGTTGGTGGTTTACACAGAGCTGATTTGATAATGATTCCAATATCAGTAACTAGTCATTTCCTATCTGTTAAAATATACTGAGTTTCTGGGATCATAAAATCAATTTAATTCAAAAATATTTGCTAAGCAACTATTATGCACAAGCCATTATGACAAAAATGGGAAAGTCCTTGCCATCAAAGACCTTACATTTTACCCACCACCCATGTAGCTAATCATCCATTTTGTGAGTTTTGCACACCCTATTTAGGGTCAGGACCTTCAGCCATTAGTTCAGCCCTGGATTAGCTTATTCATGTCCCTTGGAGAGTTGGGGGTTCCATTTTGGTGTCCCGTGGTTTATATGCTCTGTAGTCTTTGGGGGAAGTCTTATATTAGTGAAATAACTTCCAGATCAGTGGCCTGAGATGAGACTTCACTTACAGATGCTTTCCTGAGGAAGAAAGAGCTTCTGAGACAGCAACCTAACTGATTGAGGAAACCAGCCAACCATAACAGAGTACTCAACTACCCCATCAATTTAGTCAAAATGGTTGAACTGCTTTTATGGGAAAAGAACTATACAGTGAGACTCAGTTGTAGAAAAACACCAAGCCATCTAACCTAAGGCTCTTGGAGATACTATGATTTAACTACCCAAAAGAATACATTTACATATTTTCTCCAGCACTGAAGAATTTAATCTAAAACCATTCATGTCATTAAACAATTAATAGAAAACTTTCTTTTGTAGGCCTTTGAAGACATATATATTGAACAACGAAAAACAATTAAGACAATGTTGGAATATGCTGACAAGGTTTTCACATACATTTTCATTCTGGAAATGCTTCTGAAGTGGGTTGCGTATGGTTTCCAAATGTATTTTACTAATGCCTGGTGCTGGCTGGACTTTCTTATTGTTGATGTAAGTATTCTACAGTTTCTCGTTTTGTAACCATTTGCATATTTTTTCATAAAATATCAATCATCCTTTCAATAGTTGCAGTAGTGGAGAGAAACAGTAATATAGATAATCTGAAATAATTGTGAAGATCTCATTCAAAATTGCTTCATATGTTAACCTGTCAGATCTCTAGTTTATCCTTGAAGAAAGGAGCTAAGCCTATATAAGCTACCTGAATATGAAAATGTCATTAAGAATTATTAAGATCTTCTGTAGCTAATACAACACTACTGTGTGTTTTCTTTTCCAGAAAAAGAAACGCATCAGAGGCTGGGTTGATTTCACAATGAATGATGTCACTGTTTGATTATGTTTAGCACATTAATTCCCCTTCATTTGTATCTACTATCTGTTTCTATTATTTGAGAAATGTCTTTTATATCCTATTGACAACACTATTTCTCTTACTTATTAATTTAGTTATCTAGCTTGTTAAGTTATATATCTAACTTCAGTTATAGTTAACATATAGTTATATATCTTATATGATATATAAGATATAGTTAAGATAATGATGTTAGATAACTAACTTAATAATTCAATAACTGATTAAGTAGTTATCTAAAGTTTAGATTTGAGTGTATTTTAGTTGCTGGATTTATAATTTTTCTATGTATTTTGTAGCAGTGAGCATATTTTTATTTTACTTAAATTTAATTTGTAAGAAAACAAAGTGTTACAATTTTGTTTTATATTGCTTTTTTAATTTAGTTGTGCCTTTGGTTTCTGAATAAGGAATATAATAAATAATAATAAATATATAATAATATAAATTATATAATATCTAATTAAAATGGATAAATGTTATATTATATATGTATATATGTTAATATTATATCTCTAGATTCAAGTTGCCCTTATTCGCAATTCTTTTTATCCTACTTAGTTTGAGAACTAGAGATAGAAACATCCTATAAACAAATCCCTGAATTAGCATTTTAACATTAGAGTCATATAAGCAATTTATTGATTGCAAAAGTCAGCTACTTTGTGCTAGCCTCATTAACCTCTGATTTTGCCCAAGGTAAGGGAATTTCTCAACTTCATTAAAGTACTTAAGCCTCATTCTTAGAAAATTCTTCTTAGATCTAACTCATTAAATTTAAGGATCTTTCAAAGTTTGACTTGAGCCTGTTTGTTTTTGTTAGGCTCTCCATAGTTGAGAATCACTGCTGTTCTTGATCCTTTGGATACACTAAATGTCAGGCACTTGAACTGCACAAGTTCAGAAATTGCAGTTCTTCAGATAAGGTTTCCTTTTGATATATATCTGAAGAAAGGGCTTGAAAAGCAATTAGATTGTGGAAAGAAGGGTTTAGTGAGACTGTTTAAACTACTCCAGTGCACAAACTTTTCAAGCACCTTCAAGTAGTACTTCAAAGTAGCAAGTGGTGACTTTCTATCACAAACAATAACTGACATATGCTAAGTCAGATAATTCCTCTTCATTCATTCAAGCCCACCATTTTGTTAGCCAAATTTAAATTATTATTTGCCTGGAAAATAAAATTCCATTTTCTTTTAAAGCAAAGTATTGTGGTATAGGCAATGAAGTTGGTGTAAAAAACAAACAAACTCAGATTTAAATTCTGCTTATAACCCGTGTGTCCTTGGAGAAATTATTTGTTTAGCCACCAAAAAAACCCCAAAACATATATGTGTGTGTGTGTGTGTGTATACACACATATACATATATATGTGTGTGTATATATATACACATATGTACACATATTATCCTATATTATTAACACACATATGGAGGAAAAATAACCTTGTTATTGAAATGTGCTGTTTGACTTAATCACCACACCCACACCCCCATTCTTCAGTAGACTAAATGCACTAAACCTGACTGAATTGTTCTCTCTTCTGCTATAGACTGAATTACAAAACCTGCTGAATGTACAAAGTCCTACTGCACACATCCTTCTTTAGCTGCATACAACCCCACAAAGGGTACCATTAAATAGAAACTTTACAGACCAACATCTTTATCAGGACAGTGAACCCCATTGGTCCATTTAAATGCTGCACAATGCTGCTGATTGCCCATGCACCTAAATGGACCTAAAAGGCTATATAAGATAGATGTCCATTCTAAGAAGTCTGAGTCTAAAGTTCTTTCTGGCATTCTGCCTTAGCAGGATAATAAATAGTCTTCCTTTTTCTTAGGCTACTTTATTTGCCCTCCAGTCTTGTCCACCCGTTGATGGATGAGATTGTCCCCTGGGTCTCATGGACCCCAGGCTGAGAAATTTCCTAACAAATAAACATATGCAATCACTAATTTAGATGGCATAATTTGTTTAAAGTAGTGAGTTTTGCCCTCTAACCATTCATCTATATGATAAATCATTTGACTACTTTTAAATTAAGTGGGTTTCTTATGAAACTATTCATGCTGTATCTTTGAAAATTCTATTCCCATTCTCTAACTTGTTTCCATTTTTTGTGATATAAATGAATTTTGGGATAAAATAAGGCTTTTCTTTACCCATGTGTAGTTTTAATTAATCCATTTCATATTTTCAAAGTAGATTGGTGATTCCTGTTGTTGGCAGTAATAAATTGTCTCTTTTTAGCTGACTTAGAGATTTTGTCAATTATAAAATTAGTCATTTGTGAGAATGACTAAAAAAACTGTTTATTTATAAATCTTTGATTGGGCAGCTAGGTGGCACAATGAATAGAGTGCTAACCCTGGAGTCAGAAGGACCTGAGTTCAAATATGACCTCAGATTCTTACTAGCTGTGTGACCCTGGGCAAGTCACTTAACCCTGTTTGCGTGTTTCTTCATCTGTAAAATGATCTGGAGAAGGAAATGGCAAACCTCTCTAGTACCTTTGCCAAGAAAACCCAGAAGAGGTCATGAAAAGTTGGACATGACTAAAAAATGACTAAACAACAACAAAATCTTTGATTAATTTAAATAAATTTCTTGATTTTTCTTTTTATCCATTTCTTTTTTATCTAATCAATTAACTCTGTTTAGCTACTTGGACTTCATAATGAAAAACCTAAGACGAATAAAGCAATTATATCTAGGATGTTTGTGTTTCATATTAACCTTTGGTTTCATTAAATTGCTTTTGTGCTTAGCTTGGTTTTTCTTTCTTTCTTTTTTTAATTATTCTGATCATCCAAAGATGATGTGAAATTATAAAGTATTTGTCACAAGCTTGCAAAAGATAGAGTAGGAATCTGCCCTATGACAATCTTCTCTCTTTTTTTTTTAATAAGAATTCCCTCTAAAATGTTTTTTGAAAAAAAATTGACCTATTATGGCTTTTCCTTTCTAGTATGTTTATGTCATAGACTAAGCTTGTTTTGTATAAAGACTTTCTAATATTAATGAATATCCTCTTCTTCTTTTCATATAGGTCTCTTTGGTTAGCTTAACTGCAAATGCCTTGGGCTACTCAGAGCTTGGTGCCATTAAATCTCTTCGGACACTGAGAGCTTTGAGGCCTTTAAGAGCTTTATCTCGATTTGAAGGGATGAGGGTAAGACCACACTTCTATAACCTTCTGAGAGAATTCACACAGTAGAAAAAAAAAAGAAAGCTGGCAGCTTAAAAATGTCAAATTCATGAAGAATTATGAAATTTTCTTCCTATGTGGTGGAAGGTGCAGTATATTTACTTAGTAAGTTAGTCATATATCTTGAATGCCTGCTGTGCTAGGTGAGAGAGATACATAAGGATATACTGCCTTCAAGGAGCGAACCATGTATTTGCATAATGTTTTGTGTTTTTAAAAAACACTTTCACAGAGAACCTTTCCATATGTGGTGTAAAGTAATGAGCACTGGAATCAAGGAGTTAGAGTGCCTAATTCTGGTCCCGCCCACTAACTTGCTATGTTTCTTTAGGCATGTCGCTTCACACCCTCAGATTCCTCATCTCTAAAGTGAGTGGGTTGAACTAAGATGCCTTCTGCCTTTGATGCTCAGTGATCTGTGATTCTAATTGTTTAAAGAAAATAAAGCAAGTTTTATTACTCCTTTTTTTAAAATTAAATTTGTTTTTTCAATGATCAGATGCTTACTTTTTATTTTCCCTAACCCCACCCATCAAAAAGAGGAAGAAAAACAAAACCCTTGTAACAAATACATATAGTTTAGCAGAACAAATCCTCATATTGGCCATGTCCAAAAATATGTCTCATTCTGTGTGTTTACTTAATCAGCAACTAGCAGGTTGTATGTAGCTTTCTTCATCATTGGTCCTCTGGAATCATGACAGATCATTGTGTGAATCAAATCAAAATTGTTCATTTTCCTGGTTCCATTCCTGGTTCTACTTACTTCATTCTATATTACTTCATACAGGTCTTCCCAAATTTCTCTGAAATTGTCTCTTTTATACTTTCTCATAGTACAATAGTATTCCATTATGTTCTTATGCTATAATTTGTTCAGCCACTCCCCAAATGATGAGCTCATCCCTTCTCTTGGTTTCTAGTTCTTTGCCACTCAAAAAAAAACAAATAAAAAGAGCTGCTCTAAATACTTATATGTAATATAATATTATTATATACATACACATGTACACATTGTGTGTGTGTATATATATATGTATGTACTGATTGACTCAGAGTGAATGTAAATAGAAATTATTTGTGTTTCAGCCAGAAACCCTGAGGGTCTTCCCCCTTCCCCTCCCAGTTTGATATTTTTTTCTGGATTATACTAAAAAGGTCATTCTTTTCCTCATTTTTTTTTTTACCTAGACTTAATCACTGAATGGGCATTGCCTCAGTCAAACTGAGACCTGCTAAAAACCTTAGCTTTAAAAGGCCAAGGTTTCCCACCACATCTGGGGCCATCTCCGGTAGTCCTGATGTATATCTGGCCATTGGACCCAGATGGCTCAGGGAGGAGAGAGAAGGGGAGAAAGTGAGGCTGGTGACTTTGCATAGCCCTCCCTCACTTAATACAATTCACTCGAATGTCATGGCATCACTTCCACAATGTCATGGTCCTCTTCAAGAACGAAGTACAAACAATAACATATATATATGTATATATATATGTATATATATATACATATATACACATATGCATATACATATATATGTATGCATATAAAAAATCTTTTTTTCTTTCTTTGATCTCTTTGAGACATAGACTCAGTAGTGGTATTGGTGGGTCAACAAGCATGCACAGTTTAGTAACATTGGAGGCATTGTTCCAAATTGTTTACAAGAATGGCTATACCATTATTTTCTTTCAATAGATGAGAAAATTGATACAGAGTGAAGTTAAACAACTTGCCTAAGGTTGCACAATACATTTACTAACAGGAGGCTAAAATCCAGGTCTCCTGATTTGTAGTCTTCTAATACCCACTTCTGATCATCTGACTGGCAAGATGGACTCAAATGGAAGAAAATTACTTAAGAGTACTTACAAAGCAATGCATAAACATATCCAAGTTAACAAAATACAGACTAAGTAGATGAGGGATGAAGGAATGTACAATAAAGAATAATTATGATTGAAAAGATTTAAACGCCCTCCATTTATTCAAAGAAATGATACTGTCATAGCTTAACTGAATTTAGGGGTACTTAGAAAGCAATTGCTTGAGTCACCATCACCATTCAGCAGTGGCTTATGCCAAAGTTTATATGTGTGGATATACACACACATATAAAAACATATATATTTAAGCACATACACATATATATACACACATATGTATACATACATACATACATGTATACACACACATCTTACACATCCTTTATTCATTATCCAATAGTCATTTTGCTTTTTCCTTTCAATTGTGTTGCCAGAATTTTCAACTTAGACTCATTTTTTAGCTTTCTTTCCCTTTCTCTATATGCTTCTCAGTAGTTGCTTTTATTCTCCTTTCAATAACAATCATGAAATTATAGAATTTATAGAATCATGCAACTTTGAGACTGAAAGGGACCTTAGAAACCATCTAGTCTAGTTATTTTATGTGCCTTTGGAAGAGGAAATGGATTTAGTTAATGTGAATAAGACAATAAATTTGAAAAGTTAGGAACAGGATTTAGCCGATGTGAATCCGTTAGATAGATTTCTAATGTGCCCGGCTCTGTGGGAATTCCCCATCATGTTGTGAGGGAGGTGAACCAGGACTCAGATCAGGGGTGTTCATTTCATTTATAAATGTGTAGGAAATCCCAGTTGGTGTAATTTAAAACTGCCAGATATCTCTTCACAGCATCCTCACTGTTCCATTTCTGATGTTTGGAGGGTTTTTTCCCCTCAAGGGATTCATGTCAGAAACTGCTTCTTTAGCTTTAGGGCTCAGACTGAAATGGATAAAAAGTAGGTCAGACATTGGACATGGAGCCCTTACAGAAGAAACAAGGTATAAAGGAACTGTGAAGAATTTGCCCTGACATTTTCAATCCTCTGAGGCAAAGACCCTGAAGCCAGATACTCACGCCTCCAATAACATGCTGATATTATCTCCCTTGCAGTGACAATTCACAAATGGAACATTTAGAAAATGATGCTTTCCATGATATTTAAGAACATATTTGAGAAAAAATTTAAGGCTAGTTCTATGTGGTAGAAACATGACTGATGAAGTAGTCCAAAAAAATCACTGAAGCTGCAACTGTTTTTCTAATATACATTTCACCAAATTACTAGTCAACCACATGCTTTTCTATGCAAATGAAAAGTGAAAACATGAATGTATTATCTCTTCCCTAGAGAAAAAAATGTTCACTAAAAAGAAATTCATATATATTAACTAAGGTCAGAAGAGAATTTGGAACAACGGAAAAAATTTAGTCTGGTCTTTCTTAGGGCTTTTAAAAATGTATAAGCTTTTTATATTCATTTTTAAATGCTAAAAAAGTAATTATTAAATAAACCATTTTATTATGGTTGCTGGACTATTTGAAATTCCTATTCCATTGTGCATTTATTTTTTCATGCTTTCCACTGTTTTTTTCTTCAAGGTTTTTCTTTCTTTTGCAACCTATCCAAAATTCTTTATTTTAGAATTTCTAGAAATATTTTCATGTTACCATCTTTATTGAAGGACTTAAACATTAACTATTTTTGCTTCTGAAGAGTTCAAAACATATTTTCTCACCTATATGATATCGGTAAGAGGTTAAAAGATAGCTATTTTCTTTATTTTATAGATATAGAAATTTGGATAACAATTCTGGAACCCAAATAAAGATCTCCTAACCCAACACCAGTGCTATTTTCTAGCTTATACCACATTTCTACAATAATTTGACTTTTCTAGTTGGACAATATAATCATACAGAAATTAATTAAGTTCAATTCAACAAGCATTTATTAAGTACCCACTACATGTTTTGCACTGTGCTAGGCATTGGAAACTGAATGCAAAGACAAAAAAAAAAACTGAAAAATAGTCCCTGCTTTTTAGGGAATTGAGGAGTCTAAGAAGCAAAAAAGGAGAGCATTCCAAGCATAGGGGAAGATTTGTGCAAAGGCACTGAAGTGAAAGGAAGTGTGGTATAATGGATTGGGCTCTGGATTTGGAGTCAGAAAGACTTGGGTTCAGATCTTGCCTAAGACACTTAGTATCTATGTGACCTTGAGTAATTCACTTCACTTCTCTGTCCTGCAGTGCTCTCATCTATAAAATGAGGTTGGGCTTGTTGAGCTTCTAAGAACCATCCTAGCTCTCAATCTTTGATCCTATACGTGAGAGAACAAATATCGAGTTCAGAGAACAAGTTGGTTATTAGGCTGGGACACAGGGAGGAGATGGATAATGATCCCAGAAGGAAAATGAGAAAAAGTCATTGGATTTGTTAAGATTTCACTGGTAAACCTAGAAATCAGTTTCAGTCAAGTAGTGAGATTGAAAGGCGCTGATGGGGCAGCTAGGTTGCTCAGTGGATAGAGCACCGGCCCTGAAGTCAGCAGGACCTGAGTTCAAATCCAGCCTCAGACCAAACACTTGACACTTACTGGCTGTATGACCCTGGGCAAGTCACTTAACCCCAATTGCCTTTAAAAAAAAAAGAAAGAAAGGGGTTGAGAAGTGGATGGGTTTGTCGATGAATGTAGACAGTTTTTAAAGGAATTTGACTATAAAAGGGAGGAGAGATGTCAGAAAATAGCTTTAAGGTGTGACAGAATCAAGTCAAGATTTTTTAAAGATGGAGAGACTTGAGCAAGTCTTTAGAAGGCAAGGAGAAACCAGTAGATAAGAACATGAAGAAGAGCAGGAGAAATAGAATTACTGAAGAGGCAAGTTCCAAGAGGAGATGAGAGGGGATGGAAATAAGGGCATTGTGAAAATGGGTGGCTTGGCAAGGAGAAGGTTGACTTTTTCCTCAGAGATTGGAACAAGAGAGTCAGGTAGTCAGCAAGCATTTATTAAATGTCTACTCTGTGCTAGCCTTCATGCTAAGCACTGGGGATACTAAAAAAAGACAAAAGGCAGCCTCTGCCCTCAAGGAACATAGGGAGGCAACACATAAATACCTGGGTAAAAACAAGGTATATT